GTGTGTGTGTGTGTGTGTGTGTGTGTGTGTTGGGAGCGTGCTCAGATCAATGTGACATTGCCGTAGGCTGGCCGATCACCCCCCTTTTCATGCACCCCACCCCCCCACGCGGTTTGTAAGGTCACGGCACGCCCTGGTTGCTCAGTGAAAGCTGCTCTCACACGGCCCTCTGTCCCCCCCCGCCTGCTTTAAACGCGCAGCACGTTAGCAGGGGCTTGTTGCTGTCTCATGGCTGGCTGTCTGCTCCAAGGGGGGGCGACGGGGTTTAGCTTGGCAGCCGCTCATACACAGTCTGGGATGTGAGCCTCCTACCCCAATGGGCCCCCTCACCCCAGGCCGCTGGATCCAAGGCGCTCCGTGTCGGGAATGCCAAGCGACAGCAAGTCCGGCCTGGGTGATGTCACTAACCCCCCCACCCCCCCCGCACCTCTCCCTGAGAGACTGTATTTGTGTCAAATGACCCCCCGCAGTCCTGCTCCTTTACGGGCTGACCTCACCGCTGCTGTGTTGAATGTTGGCCTTCATCTGCATTAACTGGACGGTCCGGACAAGCGGACAGCTTAGCTTAGCATTAGCATTTAGCACTTAGCACAGGCCATTCTGTGTGGCACTTGACCCGCCGATCGGTGCCCTGGGGGCTGTTGGCCGCTCGATGGGGCTGAAGGATTTGATGTGGACGGGAGGGGAGGGGGGGCTGGCTGGTGGTGTATAAAGGTGCAGACTCGCAAGCCCTCTGCAGTCGGGCGAGAAGAGCTGGATCGGCAAGTGAGCCGGGCTGCGTTCCCTTGGAGGTATGAGACCGCTGCGGGGGGGGGGGGGATCTCAGGCTGCGAGGTCACTAAACGTAAGCGGGTGGGGGAGGGGCATGTGCTTTACCTGGGCACCGGGAGCGCTGTCTGGTGGGATTCCTGCGGGCCCCGTGCAGATGGAGAGCGTGACCTCATTAGCGCCGGCCGCATGGGGGGCATTTCCCAGCGTGTCGGGGCAGCGGGAGGCGCGTCGGCATGCGGTTTTCGTCGGGCGATGTGCTTTCGGCACGGCAAGCACCCTGCCCCTTGGGGCTCAGCACGGTGATGGTCCGGGACCTTGGATGGTGTTTCTGTGACCGGTCGCGTTTTGGATACCTCAGGTGAAGAGGTCACCCTGTGTGAAAGGCTCTGCCGTGAACCCGGGGTGAGGGGCGCATGGCACCAGACGCCGGGCCTCCCTAGAGCGACACACAGAGGGTCACCGAGCCAGCATCACACCGGCTGCCTTCTCCCTGGGCATCAGTCAGATCAGTGTTTCTCACCCCGGTCCTCAGGGATCCGCAGACGGTCCACGTTTTGCTCCCTCCCAGCTCTTGATTAGCTTTTGAGAAACACGGAATTAGACCAGATGCCTGCTGTCGCCCTAACCAGGTCACTTGGGATGTAGCATGTTTGGGTCACCTACCTGTTTGCTTTCTTACTGGATCTGACAGGACAGGTTCTGCTGGTCCAAGTGAGTCAAACCGCAGTCTTGTATCTGGCGGTGGTTCGACTGTGTCCAGAGTTCCTCAACACAAGTAGCTCAGTGTCTCCCTCCTCTGGTCATTATTCTGAAAGACAGCCGCCTTGTACTCGTTTTCCCACCCAGCGTTCAGTCGCTGGTCTTCCATTTAATAATTTCATACTTCTCTCTCCCCCCTTTGTGACCCCCCCGTCTGTGCTCATGT